ATGCAGAAGGGCTGCAGAAAGCGACAGAACGGAGGGATCTGAGAGATACTCGCCCATGAATCACAGAATGCCAGCCTCCAAGTTCAACCTGGAACAGGGAAAGCAAACGCTGGCCTTTATTTCGAAGGGAGTGGAATATAAAAGCAAGGAAGGTTTTGCTGAAGGCGTACAATGCACTAGTCAGACCGCTGTCGGGAGACTGTGAACAGTTTTGGGCCACGTATCTGAGCAAAGGTACCCAGACTTTGGAGGGAAGGTTCACTTGGCTGATCCCGGGTAGGGAGGGACTGCCTCATGAGGAGAGGGGGAGTCGGTCGGGCCTGTACTCATTGGGGTTTAGAAGAATGAGAGGCAACCTTATAAAAACAGACAGGATTCTTGGGGGGGTGGAACCTGACAGGGGGAGATGGGGAGGGGTTGTTACCCCCTTGTGTGGGAGAGTCTAGGACCAGACGGGGCATCAACTCAGAGCGAGGGGGTTGCCCACTGAAGACGGAGAATGAGGAGGAATTTCTTCTCTCTGCGAGGGGGGAGTGAATCTGTGGAATTCTTTACCGCAGTGGGGGGATGCTGTTGAGGCTGGGTCATCGAGGGTATTCGAGGCTGAGATAGAGATTTTTAATGGGGAAGGGGATCGAGGGGGTAAAGGCAGGAAAGTGGGAGCTGAGGAGGATCAGATTATCCATGATCTCGTTGAAAGGAGGAGCAGTCTGGATGGGCTGAATGGCCTACTTCTGCTTCTGTGCCTTATGGTCTTGTGGATTTAAGAGAGGAGAGAGTCTGGGAAGGTGCAATTATGGGGCTCACAGTCCCCAGGTTGTTAAAAGCATGGTTACCAACGTCAGAGATAGTAACAGCAAGGGAAATGGGAGGGCTGGTATCAGGGGAATACAGAGATCTCAGAGTGGGGAGGGGTTGGGGGCTGGAGGAGGTGACAGAGATAGGAAGGGGTATGGGGGCTGGAGGAGGTGACAGAAATAGGGAGGGGGTGTAAGGGGCTGGAGGTGGTTGCAAAGATAGGGGTTGGGGGCTGGAGGAGATGACAGAGATAGGGAGGGGGTGTAGGGGCTGGGACAGAAATAGGGAGGGGTGTAGAGGCTGGAGGGGGTGACAGAAATAGGGAGTGGAGTGGGGTCTAGAGATGACAGAGATAGGGAGGGGAATGGAGGTTGATGGAGCTGATAGAGATAGGAAGGGGTATGGGGGCTGGAGGAGGTGACAGAAATGGGGAGGGGTGTAAGGGGCTGGAGGAGGTTACAGAGATAGCGAATGGGGGCTGGAGGAGGTGATAGAGATAGGAAGGGGTATGGGGGCTGGAGGAGATGACAGAGATAGGGAGGGGATGTAGGAATCTGGAGGAGGTTATAGAGATATGGAGGGGTTGGGGGCCTGGAGGAGGTTACAGAGATAGGGAGGGGGTGTAGGTTCTGGAGGAGGTGACAGAGAAAGGGAGGGGGTGTAGGGGCTAGAGGAGGTGACAGAGATAGGGAGGGGGTGTAGGGGCTGGAGGAGGTGACAGAGATAGGGAGGGGGTGTAGGGGCTGGAGGAGGTGACGGAGAAAGGGAGGGGGTGTAGGGGCTGGAGAAGGTTACAGAGATAGGAAGGGGGTTTAGGGGCTAGAGGAGGTGACAGAGATAGGGAGGGGTGTGGGGAGGTGACAGCGATAGGGAGGGGTGTGGGGAGGTGACAGATAGGGAGTGGTGTGGGGAGGTGACAGAGATAGGGAGGGGTGTGTGGAGGTGACAGAGACAGGGAGGGGTGTGGGGAGGTGACAGAGATAGGGAGGGGTGTGGGGAGGTGACAGAGACAGGGAGCGATGTGGGGAGGTGACAGAGATAGGGAGGGGTGTGGGGAAGTGACAGAGACAGGGAGGGGTGTGGGGAGGTGACAGAGATAGGGAGGGGTGTGGGGAGGTGACAGAGACAGGGAGGGGTGTGGGGAGGTGACAGAGATATGGACGAAGCCTTGGAGTCATTGGGAAGGAGACCAAGAATTTTACATGAGCTTGGTGCGAATGTTATTATTTCTGTTAACCTGAGTACAGAGGGACAAAGGCCTTTAGTTCCACCCAGTTGCTGCCTCCTTCTAACCCCAGGGTGGATATCTGTGAAATGTCCTCCTGCTTCCCGTTAAACTGGGTAGCAGACCAGATCGAAATAAAAACATTAAATCCATTTGAATCTCTGGGTAAACACTCCCCCCAGTTAAATCTCAGGAGGCATGTCCCGTCAGATTGTGTGCAATGACCGGACTAAGAATTTCATGTATTGGCCCGTCCCTAATTGCCCCCCTTGAGAAGGTGGGTGTGTGAGCTGCCTTCTTGCACTGCTGCGGTCCCACATGCTGTAGGGTAGACCCACAATGTCCCTCTCGGGGCGGGACTTCCAGGGATCCTGACCCAGCCACGCTGAAGGAACAGCCGATATATTTCCAAGTCGGGACGGGGAGTGGCTCTGGGGTTGTGGGTGTGGGTGTGGGGGGGGGGGGGGGGGGGGGGTGTGTGGGTAACTCGCAGGGGGCTGGTGTTCCCATGTATCTGCTGCCCCCCACTTTGTCCTTCGAGATGGTAGAGGGGCAGTGGGGGGTTTGGAAGGTGCTGTCTGAGGAGCCTCAGTGCGTCTCTGCAGGGCGTCTTGTAGATGGTACACACTGCTGCGGCTGTGCCTGAGCGGTGGGGGGAGCGGATGTTTGTGGGTGTGGTGCCAATCGAGCGGGGTGGGGGGCTGTTTTGTCCCTGGATGGTGTCAAGCTTCTCGAGTGTTTTCGGAGCTGCCCCCATCCGTTACTGAGAAAGACCTTTTGGCCAATCGTGTCTGTGCCAGTCAAAAGCAACCACCTCAATATTCTGGTCCCATTTCCCCGCACTTGGCCATAGCCTTGGCATCTAACGTGCACACCTAAACATTGGATGGCTCAGCAGATGGCACAGCTGCCTCACAGCACCAGGGACCCAAGTTCGATCCCACCCTCGGGTGACTGTCTGTGTGGAGTTTGCACATTCTCCCCATGTCTGCGTGGGTTTTCTCCGGGTGCTCCGGTTTCCTCCCACAGTCCAAAGATGTGCAGGTTAGGGTGGGTTAGCCGTGGGAAATTACCCATAGTGCACAGGGATGTGCGGGTTAGGGTGGGTTAGCCATGGGAAATTACCCATAGTGCCCAGGGATGTGCAGGTTAGGGTGGGTTAGCCATGGGAAATTACCCATAGTGCACAGGGATGTGCGAGTTAGCCATGGGAAATTACCCATAGTGCCCAGGGATGTGCAGGTTAGGGTGGAATAGCCATGGGAAATTACCCATAGTGCCCAGGGATGTGCGGGTTAGGGTGGGTTAGCCGTGGGAAATTACCCATAGTGCCCAGGGATGTGCAGGTTAGGGTGGGTTAGCCGTGGGAAATGCAGCGATGTAGGGTAGAGAGTTTGGGTCCGAAGGGCCGAATGGCCTCTCCCCGCACCCTCGTCTACGGCCCTAACACACCTCGGATACGTTGACGGTTTCCGCTCCTAACGTCCTTAAAGCCGGGGAACGGGGGTTGGTGGTGCGGAACGGAGGTCACTGTTTGTGCTGCTAACCGAAGACATTTATCGCCGCTGTCTCTCTCTCTCTCTCTGTGTGTGTCTCTGTCTCTCCTCGCCCTCCCCGCTCCCCCCATCCGTCCCCGCTCCCCTTTCCAGGATTTGATCCAGTGCATGTTGACCCCGGCAGCATACCGGTACTCCATCCCAGACGTGTTCCGTCACCACTGGCTGTTATCATTCGTGACGGAAATGCCTTCGGACACCCTGAGCGGCATGGACATGCTGTACGTCTACCAGGGCCACTTCAAATCCCGGCAGCATCTGATGAGGCGACAGCGCCACAACCCCCAGAACTGACGACCGGCCTCCCGCACGATTACCCCCTTCCGCATCGCCCGGCCCCCACCAACACACCACCGTAACCCATGGCTGCCTCTCAGAGGCAGGCTCTGAGCAACAGGGACGCCGGTGGTCTCGGTTAGATTCACACCGTGCTGCCATTGTGCGTGCGTTCGCCACTCTGAGGCCCGACAGCGGGCACCAGTGGGTAAGGGGGCCGTGTCTCTCCCCACCAGCACCAACCCTCCATCGTGAGGCTTACAGTGAAGTGAACTGGATGCTGTGTTTCCCCTGCACCCTCCTTTCCGTCTTCTCCTTCCCAATCCCACCCCATCTCTCTACCCCCCTCCTCCCTCCAACTCCATGCCCGGTCTCTGCCCCCCCCCCCCCGGTCACCCCAACATTTACCTCCACTCCCCTCCTCCACCAACCAACGCGCTCCGATCCTTACGCTATACTCCTCCTCCTGCCTTTACCCCACCAATCCATCGCTTTCCCCCACCACCAGCCCCCC